TAATGATGAAAGTGATACTTTGTCCCCCAGCTTGAAACCACATGAACACCCTGATGGTACTCTGGCAGGACATTGCCACTCCATTTTGGGATACTCAGGTGCCAGATGGAAGTTTCCCCACCCCCAGTGGTTGATGTTTTTGTGTTACATAATTATTTCCAGGGTCTCATCAGTACAAAAATCCTGCCTATGGCTCTGTACCATAAAGTCCCTTTCAAGCCCTACAATTCTAGGATTCTTTTTATTTCCATTTCCTTCTCTATTATATCCTTCCAGGAGGCACTAGCTCTCTATGGGGCTGATGTTTCTTCCTTCTCCCCAACAGTGCCTGGTAATATTGGCAACACCCCCCCACACACACACACACATTTTAAGCAGGTAGCTACTAGACTAACTGCATTACTGAGGCCAGTTAGCATCATCTGCTTCAAAATTCCCATCCAATTGGAAGTGGTCCCAGGAAGTCCTTCTAGTCTGAGGACACAGAACAGGGAGAGTTGTAAGCACTTCTCTAGCCCCCAAGGAGTTTTGGATCTTTTCTGATCTTCATGATTTTCTAGGAAGCTCCAACAGCCAGAATGAGCTTGGCCCTAAACCTAAGGGTTTGGTAAGAAATTAGCTTTGGAATATGGTAAATTGAAACCTGACATCTTGAATTCACTTCCCTACTGGTCATTGCTCATTTAAGATTTCCCAGGCCATCTCATGCATGTGGCATTATATCCAAAGCACTGGGATCCCTACTGAGATGAACATTTCTGTCACACTAGGGGTACAAAGGGCTGATGCACCACAGCTCAGTAACCTGGCAGCTTGCCCTGCTGCCCACAATGGGCAAAGTTTGGGCCTCACCTTTCTGATAAACACTCGCTGAATCTGCAGAGCCTAGGGTCAAAGGGTTCTTGGGTACTTGCACTGCCTGACAAAGGGGCAGTGTGGACCACATGCCGCAGTAATGGTCAACTGATAGTAGGGAGATATAGAAGTTATGGCTACAGCTTTACTATGTACTTCGTGAGTGATCTTGGACAGGTCCTGTTCGGCGGTTCAGGACATTAAGCAGCAGGATAAACTAAATGTATATTAGCAAAGAGGAACCATCCTGAAAAACTGGCCTTGTTTTTTCCTCCACAGCCTATTCACACCCACGGAGCATAAAGAGAGGAAAGGGAGGGCGAGTTCCCAAGGTCCTTTCTACCCTAATCCAAGAGTACGATATTCATTCAAGAGTGACATAATCATTCATTGTAACAATAATTTATTAAGTGCCTACTGCATACCAAGTGTGGTGTTAGGCACTGGTGATACAGAGACAAAAATCTTAAGTCCTTGCTTCAGGAAGCTTACTCTATTAGCTAAAGATAGCTTTGAAAATGGTAGAAAAGCATGTTGACTGGTCTGAAAGGAAGCAGAAAAATGGAAAACAGGTGGAAAAAGCCAGCAGTAGGGAACAGCCAAAGAAACAAGCAAGGGCAAAGGACTAGATATCTCTAGAAATAAAGCCTTAATAAGCAGAAAATTTTAATTAAACATTCCAGGAGCTAAAAACTCATACTTACAATTCTACACAGGATACTTTTTCTCCCATCTCCCCTCCCCACTTAAAGCTACAGATGGACCTTAGACATTGTTTAATTCAATTTCTTCATTTTAAAGATGAGACTAAGGTCCAGAAATGGCAAGCAAAATCCTTGAGAGAGCAGAACCCATAGCCAGTCACTGGGGACCATTCTTTTTTCCCTCCTCTACATGGAGCTTTAGTAATGTATCTCCCTCCATCGATTTTGTAGAGGCTAAGTTTCCTGATAGGCCAGGTTTCTCCATACTCACTCAGCAACATGCCCAGGAGCCAAGGAGCCCATGAAAGCACAAGGAGCTCCCAGGAGGGAAAGGATGGTGCAGGAGTTGGAGGCATTGCCACCACGCTGCCATCGTTGGGTCAAGCACCTAAAAAGAAAATGAGGGCCTCTATTATCCTCAAAACCTAGAAGATTAAGCCTAAACACCCCATTGTTACTACTTGAGGGCAGAGACGGTTCCATTTTTGTCTCTATAGCTCTAGCACCTAGCATAGCCTGTAACACAGTAGGTGTTTAATAAATGCACGTTGAACAAATTAATCTTTTACAAGACTAGAGGGGTAAAGCCAACCACAGAAAAGGGCTCAGGTCTCTACTCTCACTACAGCTCCCAATGCAGCTGGGCTCAACACATTCTTCCATAGACTCCAGGGTCAGTTTTCCCCAGCACATGTAGAGGAATTAGCTGCATGCCTCCTACTGACATCAAGTGTGATGATCAGAAACCCAATAATCTGGTCAAATCCCTGGTGTTTGGCCTATCTTCACTTTCCCTTATTTCCTCCACACGTGATCAACCACATCCTTCCATCAATAAAGTTACAAACTAGATTGTAACATTAGCCTCTCTGGTAACTGCATCAACCCCAATGGACTGAAAGAGTCAAAACTACTTCAAAAAAAGGTAAAGATGTTAAATTTGCAATTAAATAACTGCTTCCTTGGAAGAATATGAATCAGTAATATAAACCAAAGTTTAAAATATTTAAGATTAGAAACTAAGAATAGTAATTTTTTAGTTTAGTTTTTAGTTTGCAGATGAAAAGGTTGAAAGGTGACCCATCAGTAAAGTGTCAAGTTTACAAAACGCTATCAGATGGAAGATGGTAACCAGTTGTTCTCTGTCTTTACAGAAGACTTGAACAAGAAAACACTAGGCTCCAATAGCATTTGAAGGGATTTAGTGAGAACATCCGCCTTGCAGATTGCCTTCTATTTTCAAACTCTTTTTACATTTTCTCCTTACTACAAACCATAACAATTAGGCATAACAATGATCTCTATTTTGCAGATAAAGAAATTGAGAGGTCACAGTCAGTTAGTGGCCCTGGAGTGTAGGCCTCCTGACCTCCAAGTCTAGTGTTCATCATCCTCTGAAAATGCCAGGCTTGTTAAGCAGAGAATTAACATTAAAAAAGGTTCTGGAATCTTATTCTGAGATCTCTCTCTCTTTCTAGACAGGGACAGATACACTTAGGCCAGCTTGAGAACAGGCTAATCATAGAATTCTCAATCTAGAACTGAAAAGAACTTGGATATCTAGTTCGATCTTCTTAATTTACAGATGAGGAAATGAAGGTCCAGAAAAGTTAAATAACTTGACTTGTCCATGAGCACAAAAGGTAATAAGCCAGAATTTAAACTCAGATTTCCTGACTCTAAAATTCAACATGTTTTCTACTGCACCATGCTTCTATGGAGAGCCCTTCTGAGATTCTATGCTGAAAGTGACAGTGGCATTGGACAAAGGAGGTCTTAATCATGCTACTGACCGATTTCCAGGAGATCATTTCTGCCAACTGCCTGGTTGGTAAACTCCTCGGAGATGGGTCTACCCTCTCTAATGCTGTCAAATGGTCACTCATCCAAGAAGTATCTTAGGCCTCCTTATAACTACCTTGTGCAGGGGCTCCAAGCAGAAGCCACCCACTGTTTCTTTGTGCTTCTTTTTCAAAACCCTGACTGCAAAAATACAGTGAATGTGTAATCTCAAAAATCAAGAGTTTGGATGAATGTCTCATGGACCTAGAACTGAAAGAGATCTTCAAGGTCATTTAGTCGACCTCCATTTTACAAGGTAAAGGAAACTGAGGTGCAGAGGACAGTGACTTGTCCACGTTTACCCATGTAATTATGTTGGAATTCAAACTGTCTAGTGACTCCCAGTTCAGGACACTTTTTTTTTGCACTTAATAGTATTTTATTTTTCCAATTATATGTTAAGATAGTTTGCAACACTCATTTTTGTAAGATTTTGAGTTCCAATTTTTTCTCCCTCCCTTATCTCTCCCCTCCCCCAAACAGCAAGCAATCTGATATAGGTTACACATGTACAATCATGCTAAACACATTTTCAGGACACTTTCAATGACACCTTGTTGCCTCTCATCCGAAAGGAACCGGCCAAAGCCACAGTGACTACGGGGGTCTCCCTACTGCAACCGCAGGTAAAGAATTGGAAAAATTCAAGAGTTGGGGAAATGGACCACCTTGAGCAAAAAGATGCTCAGTCGATCGGAAACCCCAGCGTTCCTAGTCGCCCCTACAGGGCCCGTCTCTCCAGGTCCTCATTCTCGAACGCACCCCCGGACACGGGAGGCTTCCCCCTCGCGGGAAGGGAGGGGCGAGGCGGCACGCATGGGCCGAGCCGAGCCCCCTACCTGCTGTCCGCGTCCTCCTCGGGGTACTTCTCCACCACATTGATGATGTCTAGCACCACCAGCCCCACGCACAGGATCTGCTTCTCTTCCATGAGCTCGGCGATGCTCTAGCCTCCAGCCGCCCGCACTGCCTCTTATCGCCCGGCTCCTCCCCCCCCGGAGCTCCTCCCTCAACCCCCTCTCCCCGTCCCACCCCGGCCTCAGCCTCCCTCCGGAAGGCCCCAGGCCTCGTCCGTGCTCTCTGGCCAATCCCTCCTGGGTGGGGAAAAGCGCGGACAAACCCACTCGGGCCAAGCGCTGTGCCAGCGCACGGCTGCAACGTACGAGCCCTGGCTGCTCGGTCCCGACCCGCGCCCTCTGGACCCTCATCCAATCACAGCAGGGCACTCACCCACGTGACAAAACAAACACCCGCTTCCGCAGCCCACGTGATCGCCAGAGGAAGGGCCACTAGGCCAGAGGCGCCCCCTGGCGAGCATCTCGGATATCGCCGGCAGCCCTGGGGAGTCTTTCCCATAGCTGGACACCGGGGCCTCGGCGAGGATCAGGACCCCGGACAGCAAGCGTCCCCGCGACCTGACCCCGCGCACCCCTGCGGCCCACAGCCACGGACAACGCCCTCCCTTCGGTACCTCCCTCCCTTGCCCCTCCGTCTCGCCTCGCACGTGAGTCAGGACCGAGCTGATTTTCTTAAAAAAAAAAAAAAGTCTTTATTCCTGAATAGTTTAGTACGGAGGGGGAGGGGGCGGGGTCCTGGAGGGGGCCGGACCTCAGGCCGCCTCAGCCGGGGGTGGGGAGGTGCCCAGCCCCAGGCCCACGCGCGGGGTGGGTGCTTAGCCCTGCCTAAGGGCAGAGGCCCTGGATTCTCGGAGCGGCAGGGGGTATGGTCCAAGGTCACGGGCGCCTGAGGCTGTGCCGGCCAGTCTGGGAGATGTCTCTACTGTGTGGGTGGCCGGGGACCAAGCCTCCCCTCCCCCCCCCGACGGCGGGGCCGAGGCTAAGCCTTGTGGGGTGCCGGGCGCCAGGGCCGCGCTAGTCGTTTTCATGACCCAGGTCCTCGTAGAGCAGGGCCCCGCTGAAGAGCGTCAGCGGCTCCTCCGAGTGCGCCAGCTGCCCCCTCACGAGGTCGATGCAGACCGTGTCTCCAGCCTGCAGGGGCAGGATCAGGCTGAAGACCCCCAAGGCACCGGAGCTGGGCTGACTCTCCACCACCGGCTTATTTTCGAGCCCCTCCGGCTCATAGCCGCCCGAGTCTATGCGGGCTATGCCCTGGTTGGAGCGGGACAGCACGGCCTCCACCTTCTCGTGACGGTGCCCGGTGAGCACGGCGCTCAGCAAATAGCGGCCAGCCTGGGGCGCGGTGAATATGCCTGGTCAGAGGGACAAGCAGAGAAGGATGGGATCAGCGAGGCGAAGGGCAACAAATGGGACTGGAAAACGGATCGAAGCCCTTAGGGGGAAATATAATTCAGGACTTCGGGGCAAACGTGGAGTCAACATTTTGCTGGGTTCCCCGTACTCCCCGCCGGCCACAACCAACTGGAATCAACAAAGGCTCCTTCTCTACTCAAGTATTCCCTGACCCTCCCCCCCCCATCCTCCCTTACCAGTCTCTGGGTCATAGTAGCCTCCATCGTTGAGTAAGACCTTGTCAAAGGGAATTGTGCCTGGTTCTGTACGGGGTGAACTCAGCGCGGCTGAGAAAGACACTCGAGGTGTAGGAGCTGCTGCTGCTCCTTCCAAACCTGGAAGTGGGAAATAGGTAAGGTGATCACTAGGGCTAAGGTACTGATTTGATACCCATATCACTCTCTTCTGCTGTACCAGCTCAGTTTTGCACTCTTCTACTCCGTTAAATGCTGATTCTATTTTAGCCCCTCCCACTTGATTTGTTACCGATTGAATGAACAGACTTGCTGTAGAAAGGGAAGAAGCTGCTTCCCAAAAGAATACATACCCTGTTCACCTGGGAGACCTGTAGGAGAAGGAGATGTATTAATTAGGAGCAGCACAGCATATGTTCATTTATTCAATAAACATTAAAATGCCTACTACTGGCCTAAGCAGAATAACTGGGGAAGAGAGGTAGGGGCTCCAGTTTTTTCCTTTTCAGATTGAAAACTCCTAGTTCTCCATCTTTTAACTCTCTTGAAGAATCATTCCTTCTCCAAAGACCTTACTCATGCTTCCAGACTTCAAGGGTCTGTGTTTTGTTTTGTTTTTTTCAGTGCAGGTGCTCCCTCTACTAACCCAGGCTGAAACCTCTCTATGACTCATAAAATATCTTCTGTAGGACTGGGATGCTTTAGTTTTTGTCTTTGTCTCCTTTTTATCTTAAACAGTTCCAGGAGCTTAATAAATGCCTGTTGACTGAGTAACATAGTAGATGGTATTCAAGAGTGAAAGCAACTGACAAATTCAAAAGTATTTGGCCAACATGAGCAAAGAGACTCTTTACACCGGTTAGGTTGATCCTTGAACAACAGACATGGGAAATCCTGCACCAAACCAATCAAATTGTCCTCAGCTTCACAGGGTTTGTCAGAGCTTTGCTCTACTGGTAGAGCCTTCAAGAATTCAGGGTCCTTGCCACAACACAATGAGGCACTGGAGATGTTGTCAAGTCCTGGAGTCAGGAGGACCTGAGTTCAAATCTGGCTTCAGATACATAACATTCACTAGCTGTGTGACTCTGGGCAAGTCACTTAACCCCAACTGCTTCAACAACAAAAAAAAAAAAGAATGGGAAGAGGTTGTCATTAAGACAAAAATAATATGAATTTTCTTGTTATTTGGTTGACTCAAAGAATACCCAAATTGGATAGATCATATGTGTAGAGCTGGAAGAGATTGTAGAAGTCATCAAATCTAATTCATTTTAGCGGAGGAAAATGACTGATGGGCATCAGTTGAAGGAAGACATGATAGCTTTCTTCAGGTGTTTAAGGAGTTGTCATTTGGAGAGATTAAACTTTTTCTGTTTAGATCCAGAGGGCAAAATCAGAAACGATAGGTACAAGTTACAAGAAGGCAAATTTAGGCTGATGTCAGGAAAAACTTCCTAGTGATAAGAGCTGTTCTCCTTTCAGTGGAGGTCTTCAAGCAGAGCGTGAATGATACCGTGTTGGGTAAATTATAGTAGGGATTCCTTTTGTGTCTGGGTTGGACCAGATGACTGCTGAGGTCTTTTCCAGCTTTCAAAGTCGGTGATTCCGTGAAGCTCAGAGAGGTTAAGGGACTTGTTCAATGTCACACAGTTAAGAAGTGGAAAAGGGGAGATGTGAATTCCTAGTCACGAGTCCCAGTGCAGTGCTCTTTCAATTATACCTTGCTGCATCAGAACACATTTAGGCCAACCTCATACATGAAGCATGAATCCCCTCAACAGCATCCTGACAAATGGGACATTCAACCCATTTTGAAGACCTCCAAAAAAGCTTACTCAATCAACAAGTATTTATTAAGCTCACCCATTAAAATGTGTATATACATATATGTACATATATGTATATATATATTTATACATACACATAGATATACATGTATATATGTAAATAAGAGGTACTTATATGTGATCCATGCTGAATAGAAAGGACCCTGTCTTTTGAGGTTGCCCATTCTACTTTAAGGCAGTTCAAGTTGCAAGTTTTTCCTCATATTAAGCCAAAATCTACCTCCCTCTAATTTCTACCCACTCTTCTTAGTTCTGCCTTCTGGGGCCAGACATTAGGATGCCTAGAAATGGCCTCAGCCACTGAGTTCTCTTCTCTATTACATAGTAGTAAGCTAGAAAAATTATAGGTTGGGTCTAGTTCAAACCAATTTTGAATGAAATGTCACACACCTGGTGGTCCAATGGGTCCTTCTTTGCCCTCTTTGCCAGGAGGTCCAGGGGGTCCCACAGGGCCTGGAGGCCCCGGCTTTCCAGCAGGGCCTGGTGGCCCAATCTCCCCTGCTGGCCCTGTAAGAATGAACCTAGAGTGAAGTGAAGCAATGAGAGGGGTTGCAAAGGGCAAAAGAAGGTAGGGGTTAGAGAGACAAGAGCTGAGAAGTGGCCGGGAGGCAGCTAAGGGGGAGATAGGACAGGCAAAGCCTATGCAGACTGAGGAGTATATTAGGAAATAGGTGGGAATGTGTGATAGGGATCTCTACTTGGGTTAGCGATGCTTAACCTACATCCCACATCTAGTCCACACAGGCCAAAGATGGCACATGAGCTGATTTTCAGTGGCATATGGACTGGGTTTTTGATTGTTTGCCTACTACTACAATCTGTGTTACTAGGTCTCATACAAGAGGTGGTTTGAGGTTATTACCTTCTCTTTCAAGCCCCATCCCCCAACCCATGCTTGTACCCTTGATTTCATTCCATAGAATCACTTCTTAGTCCTTGCCCCTTTAATTATCCTTCTCTCTATAATCTTTCTTTGTCTATCCATTCCTTCTCTGCTGCCCACAAACATGTCCAGATTTCCTTCATTCTTAAAAAGTCCTTTGCCATACTTTCATGGTATCCTCCTATATCCTATCTCCCTTCCATGGCTAAATTCCTAGGGAGAAAAAAAGCTTAATAGATTCACTTTCTCTCCTTACATTCACTTCTTGACTCCTTACCATTTGGCTTTGGTCATCTCTACCCCCTCCCCCCCTACACATACACTTGAATGAAAGTGTTCTAAGATTACCATTGATTTCTGAATCGCCCATTCTCATAGTCTCTGCTCAGTTGTCATCTATCTCCACCTCTCTGCAATATTTGACACCATTGAACATCTCTCTCTTCTTAGATTCTCTTTCCTTCCTGGGTTTTTGTGATATTGTTCTTTCCCGGTTCTCTTCACTGACCACTCCTTTTTAATCTCCTTTGCTGGATCTTAATCTACATCCCTCTCTTTTTGCATGTGATATACCAGAGGATTCAGTGCCAGACCCTTTTGTCTTCTGACTCTACACTGTCTTGGTGATTGCATCAGCTGGAGTGGATTCAATTATCATTTCTATGCAAATGACTCCAAAATTTAAGTATATAGCTTTCAATCTCTTTCCTGAACTCCAATCCCAAATCATCAACTGCCTGCTGGACACATTCAGCTACAGTGGTGTCCTGTAGATGTCTCAAACTTAACATGTCCAAAATGAAACTCTTTTTATTTCCCCATGAGCTCATTACTCTTCCAAACTTCCATATTTCTTTTTTTTTTTTTTGTAAAACCTCCACATTTCTATGGAGTGTGCCACCATCTTTGCAGTCATCCCATTTTTCAGCCTGAAAGTCAAACTTGTTTCCACTTTCCCTTACCTGCTATATCTAATCAGCTGCCAAGTCTTGCTAATTCTTCCTTCACAATCTCTTTCATGTCTGTCCCCTTCTCTCCATTCACATAGCCACTACTATAGTTCGAGTCCATCACCTCTCTCTTGGACTACCGCAGCAGTACCCTAACTAATCTCCAAAACTGATCACTTTCTTCTTCAATCCATCCTCCACCAAACTGTCAAACTGATATTCTTAAAGCCCTGACATTCCCTTGTTCAACAAGTTGTAGTGACTCCTTATTGCCTCAGGAACAAAATACATACTCTTCTGTTTAGCATTTAAAGCCCCTCACAGTTTGGGTCCTTACCTCTTTCTAGGCTGCTTTCACCTTACACATACTCCAAGGTCCAGGCTGTAGATGGTGTAAAGACACAGGCTGTCCACATACTTGGTTGGAATTCGGTTCCTCCTCACCTCCACCTCTTGGAAACCCTCCCTTCAAGTCAGCTCAGGTGCCACTTTCTTCTACATGAGACCTTTCCTGATTACCTCAGAATTACTTAGTATATTTTTTGTATTTGCTTATTTCTGTCCATGTCATTTCCTCCCACTAGAATGTAAATTCCTTGGGGAAAAGGATTTTTTTTGTTTGAAAGACACAATAAATGTTGGTCAGTTTGAATTGAATGCCTGACAGATAGAGGCTGAGACCCTGGCACAGCACTTCTGAAAGAGGGGCAGCCAGTTCTAGGGGAGTTGGGAAGGACAGGAGGAGTAGATGAGAGATGAGGTGGATACACGGGACCTCAGGACAAGGAGACCTCCCAAACAATCACATCCTTCCCCCTCCATCCCTCTCAAAGGGTTCTTACCAGAGAGGTCACTTTGGCTGAGCTGATGCAGCTGGTCTTCCAAAAGGAGGAGAGAGCTGTTGAGGGCTCCCAGCCTTCGGCCAAGGCCAGCTTGACCACCCAGCAGTTTCTCCAGCAGGGCAGCTTGGTTTTGGCTTGTGCTGTTGGTTTCCCGTAAGCCAGCCCAGAGGGCAGCCACATGATTTGAAAGCCCTTCTCGAAGCCCCCGCAATCCTCCAGCTACTGTGTCTAGTCGTTCACATATGCCTTCAATCCGAGTGAGTCGTCCCTCAAGGTTTGGGCACTGTCCTACTTGAGTTTGCCCTTCTTCTAGAATTCGCAGCCGTTCTTCACTCTCTGTTGCATGTTCTGTGGCCTCCTGTTGTAGTCGATTGATCTCAGAGATGATCCTATCCTTGGTGACCCCCAGGTCAGCCAGGTCTGCCCCCTGGCCCTCCACTGCCGTCTGTAATTCCCTCAATGAGTCATTGAGGGAACTGAAGGTGAGGATGACCTCTGAGAGTTCCCCTTGCATTGCCCTAAGGGCTGCACCTGAACTGCCCCCAAAAACACTGAACCCATCCAGGGGGCCCCGCCCAGGCCCCCCCACTCCTGTACTGCTCCCAGGGTCTCCTGCGGGCAACAAAGGGCAGGAACAGTGCTCTACTCCTTCTCTTAACCGGTTTAATTCCTCCTGAAGTTCACTGCAGCCTAGGCAATCCCCTCCTCTAGCCTGCATCCTCTCCTCCAACTGGCTTAGCCTCCCAGTTGTTTGGTTCAACTGAAGTAGCAAGTCCCCAGGCCCTTCACCTTGCATACCCAGCTGATCCCTCATCCGCCCCATTTCCCCTTCCAGTCCATCCAGAGCTGCCTGCAAAGCCTCTCCAGCCACCCCCATCTTGTGTAAGCTGGAACCCACCAGCCTCAGTTGGCCCTCATTGTCCAGGATCCTTCGTTCCAAGTCACTGAGGATGGCACTGATTTGTGAATCTTGGGTCCCTGGGTAAACAGTGCAGAGCTGCCCACAAGCCTGTACGGTCCCTTCTACCCGCTCCTCTAGCACATGGAGCCGAGAGTCTAGCTCCTGGCTCAAGTTGGTTAGTCTTCTTTCTAGCCTAGTGAGCTGCCCTTTGGCTCCCTGAAGCCAGTGGCCCATGCCTCCCAGGACAGTGTGGCCACCTTCTGCCTTCTCAGATGGGCCCAGGGTAGAATTGAACCGATCTTCCAGCCATGAGAGGCGAGTGGCCAGACTGGTATAGCCAGGGGGATGGCCTCCCTGCCCAGCTGCACCCTCGAGCTCTCCCCCTCTCCGACCACTCAGCACATGCACAGAGCCCACCACCACGTCCAGCCGACGCTCCACATCCTCCAGCCTCTGGCCTAGCTCGGGAGCACAGCAGCTGGGAGAAGGCAGCCAGCCCCCTGTCAGCCGCTGGTGCAGCTCCTCCCTAGCTTCCCTCTGTTGTTGCTCTATGGAACCAAGAAGTTTCTCCAACTCATGGAGGCGTTGCTGGTCCTGCTGGTATTGCCTGCGGAAGTCATCCAGGCCATCTGTGCAGCTGGAGCAGGATTCCTGCAGCCTCTGTTCCATCTCCTGAAGCAGCTTTTCTGTTGGAGGTGGGTTGCTCAGGTCAGGACCCAGAGTGCCACGTCCACTGTGGAACAGACCCAGTTCCCTGTCATGGGTGGAGATGCGATTATCCAGTAGTTGCAGCTGGTGCTGGATCTCATTGAGGGTCTCCTGCACCCCAGGCTGGGCAGCTGCATCTGCAGGTGGGCGTCTTCCATTAAATGCTGTCTCCACAGCTTGTTGGATGTTCTCAGCCAAGCGCCCATTCAGTCCTTGCAGGGTGGTCTGTAACCCTTGTAGCTCCTTTGACATACTCTGTACTTTCTCTTCTAGTTGCTTTAACTTTTCAGAGTCCCCAGGACCTAGACAAGGGGTTAGGGTGGAAATTGTAACCAAACAGGCTGGAGAAGAAAAATCAGTGATTCTGTTCTAGTTCCAGCTTTTTTCCAGGTGAATGTAGATACCTCATCGAGGCAGCTAGGTGGCTCAGTGGATAGCTCTATCTAGCTGGGCTTAAGAGTCAAGAAGACCTGAGTTCACATCTAGTCTCAGACACTGACTCCCATGGCTCTGGGCAAGTCACTTAGCCTCTTTTAGCCTAATCCACCAGAGAAGGAAATGGCAAACCATTCCAGTATCTTTGCCAAGAAAATCCCATATAGGGTCATCAAGAGTCGGACATAACTGAACAACATCTTTTCTCCCCCATCTTCCAGAAATAGAAAAATAAAGGCAGGCATTTCATGGAAAGCTTACTGATTTGTTTTCTTTTGGTAGGATGTACATCAGAACGTTGGTACTCAATAATAATTATTATTAAGAAGGAAGGAAATAAAGCACAGCCTGAGGGGACCAAGATGCATATGGAGAGATGCTCAAAGCACAGAATGTTATATCATGGGACCTAAGGTCTCCAAAAGCCACATTGTACCTTGTAGTCTTATGTGCATGCAACTTATGTGCATGCAAGGACTTAGAGTCTCTGCAAACCAACTCACTAGAGTTGGAAAGTTAGTATGTCTTTCTGTGGACTCTGTAAGATAGACATTCTCATTTTAAGGGTCATCTGTGTCACCCACAAGGAACCCTGGCTAAGTGCTTGTTCCTTAGCAAGAGGCCAATGAGAATATTTATCCCCACAGATTCAGAGTGTGCTCTGTTGGATCACCCCTCACCCACTAAAGGGGAATTGCTTTACTTCCCCGCTGGCTAGAATGCACAAATACATACACACACACACACATACACATACACACACACATAGCTGTTTGCTTCTCGGGTTGCAGGGTGGGGTATACAGTCTTTGAGGAGGTAGGATATACAGTCTTTGAGGAAGACTATTACCCATCAGGCTCATTTTACCCCTACTTTTTAAAAACATTTTTTTCTATTTTCAGGAGTAATGGCCCTGCCTCCAGTTACCTGGTCCCACATCATCTGGACAGGCTTACTCCATCTTCTTTTCCCTTCTTATTCTTGGGACCTACCTTCTCCTCCAAGTCCGCTCAGGTAACTGCCAGCACTAGACCCCGAGAGATTGGGACGGGCTAGATGAGGCCGAGGATGGGGAGTAGTAGTGCCCAGGGCTGGAGCTGGCCCCTCACTACAGTCCTCACCCCCAAAACCCTGGCAGCACCGCCATTCCATGTCGGTCACTGTTTTATAGGCTACTCTGTATCGAGGGCGGAGGAAGCTTCGATACCTAAGGGAGAGATAAGTTGGGATAGAAGGAAATGTTGGACATATCATGGACTGTCCTATACCATTAGTCATCTTTTTCTGTGAGTGTGCTTGGCATTCTGAGGACAGTTGATTCAGCTTTACACAGCTTTTGTACGTAGGAAGACCTAGCACAGAATTTTGCTCAGTAAATTATGTGCTATTGATGGCTGCTTCTCTTTTTTTTTTCTTAAACCACCAGGCTTATGAGTAAGTTTGGCATAGTCTCCAGGTGATTCCTGGATCCCTGCCAGAGAGCCCATCCTGGGCCTGTGAGCTTTATCCACCCTTCACTGATTTCTCCTCCTGTGCCCTGGTTTAGTCCCAGATCTGGTCTCACAAAACAGAAAGCAGCACAAGGGGGCAGCAAGATATCCCTGAGTGGGTTCTCAGCTCAATCTCCAGCCCTATATTTCCAGCTCACCACTGACTCTAAATGGCTCTGACCTCCACTTCCAGGCTCAGTCCCATATCACTTCTTTGGCCTTGAGTCAAATTCCCTGGTTTCGCCATCTTGATCTGGTCTCCCACCCCCAGTCCCCATTTTCCTGGCCCAGGCAACTCACGTGATAGTTCGGGGACACTGGGGCTGGCCCCAGCCACAGGCCTGGTAGTCGGGTTTGACAATGGTCTCCACCCCGTCTTCCAGTACACAGCTCACTGTCCGAGTGACCACGTAGGCACACCAGTTCCTACAGGCATAACCATCAGGGACTGAGCACTGAAACAAGGACCCCAGGAGGAAGGCAGGGATGGAGCTGCACAGAGGCAGGGCCTTGTCCACTGGCCTCTCTCCCTGTGCCTTCTTGATCAGTAATGGGTCATGGAAGAACTTTTTTAGAACGGGGAAGCACAGAGTAGGAAAAGTTAGTGTCTCCTGACATCCAGAAAGTACTCCTAATATAGATGGGAGCACAGAGGGAGCAAAGTATGCATCCATTTGCTCATGTATAGATGTATCTATCCATATGTGTTGCCATGTGTCTGGGAATCTGTGTGTTTGTATATAAATGCTCATGGGCATAGAATTATAAATGGAACCATTTAATTTTAGAACTTTGAATATTTATCACCTCATAAGAACTATGAATGCCAGAGTATGTACGTGTGTTTATATCTGCGTGTTTCTTTATGTGAGTTTGTTTATGTGTGTGAGATCTGTCCTGCCGGATGTTGCCCTAAGGTCTTCAGGGGAAAAGGGTAAGGGCTCTTCCCTTTTTCTGCTGGTCACAGCCCAGGACTGATAAGGATAATGGGGGCATTCACTAGTACTTACTCACCACTCCCTTCCCACTCCCCCCCCCAACACACACACACACACACACACACACACACACACACACACACACACACACACA